AAAAAAAAAAAAAAAAAAAAAAAAAAAAAGAAAGACAGAACTTCATGCTGCCACCTTCAAGTCTGGCCCTCTCTCCTGCTCCTAACTCAGTAAATATCTCCTTTGAGGTTGACAAGTCTGCTGTAAAACCAATTAGAAAGTGGCTCGCATGTGAAGGATACTCATCTGCTCTCTGGTTTCTGTTTACTTCTCCTGTTGCTGAAAGGTAGAGAGATGGTTTTTTGTGGGGAAAAGTCTAACAGAAAACACTTGTTAAGCTTATAAAGAACCAAGAATTCTAGATGTAGTAAATGAAAGACACTCTATCCACTTCTAGATATGCAGGTGTGCGGATATTAGCTCTGTTAGCAGCTCCGTAGTTCAGGGATGCATTGAGGTGTTGTAGTTAAAGCCAGGATTTAAGTTTCATTATGCACAACTTCTTATAAAGAGGACACTAAGCCTGTAATCTTATTTTCTCACTCACTATCACCCGTGCTTAGGCTAAGTATCTGCTCCCGTAATCGGATCTGCTCGAGTGGAGCCCTGTGCCCAGCCAGGCTCTCAAAGTAAAAAAAAACAAAACCCAACAACAAACAATTGAGGCTGCCAATATTGGTTTTATCATGCCAGAATTGTATTGTCATTGCTTAGCCAAAGGGATCCTTGCCACTTCATCTGATTGCAGGCCCATGGTTGCATTGCTCACCTGTGAGATCGGTGGGAAAGAGGTTCCCCTTGTTGTGTGGGTAGCTGCTGCTATTCTTACTTATGAGCTATCTTTGTTTTCCAGGGTAAAACCACCCTACCCTGTAGCTAGCGCACATTTGTGAGGTGATGCAATGAACTCCAGTGCCCTCAACTTTGAACAAAGTGAACGCAAGACAAACAGATGCTCCCGCACCGCGACCAGAAATCTGCTGAATCTGACCGGTGGAGAGGAATCCCAAACCACTCTTCCCCCGCAACTAATAGCAAGTTGAAAGAACCGCCTAGTCTTCAGACGGTCTGAGTACACATCTAACAGATACATCTCTCTGCCTATCAGCCAGGGCTTTCCAAATGACAAACACCTCCCAGTTGCAGTGAGCATTAAAAAGTATCCTGGAGACATACCCAAGTCTACACAAAGCAACAGCAGAGAGAACAGGAAGAGAGTCCTGAGTCCTGGTTGTGCTGTTCTTTGGTTACAAGGGATGTGAAGGGCTACCGAACAAAGGAATCCCTTACCTGTGCATGAATAAGATAACCTGATGCATTTTTCCTCTCCTCCCCTCCTAAACTACCTGTCTGTAAGGAGAAGAGAGGAAAAAAAAAACATAATTAATATCCAATTAAGGAAAGCTCTAAGGCCAACAGTTATCAAACTGTGTCCAGTTGTAACACCTGCTCTTGGGCTCTGCCCCAAGTACTAGCTAACAACTGGATTTCTGCTGAGCTCAGGACCTGACAAGGAATCATAACCCCTGATTTGGAAATTGCAATGTCAGGTTCTGCTTCTGCTAGTACTTGCAGGCACAGATAAGCAGTTTAAGGTCAGGGCCCCAGTTTGATCTTCCGCAATGCCAACCACGTCCAGCTGCACCTGTGGGAAGTGTGCCTGGGTTGCAAGAAGCTGTCTCAAGACTGAATCTATTGTCTCAACAGAGCTGCAAGGAAGACTCATCCCAACAAAAGCCTTCAGAGGAAGGGGGGGAACCCGGATGTTTCTCTTTATCGTTTCCTTTTAAGTCTTGCAGTTTCAACAGCATCTTCTAAATACCCACCTATTCACCTTAACCTTCCATACTGGCACCCAGCACTTCAGAAGAAATAACCTCTAGAGAAACAGGTCTTTATCCTGATTATAGGGGTGTGAAATGCTGTTTCTGAAGGCCCTGGGGGTCCCCTGTGGACACAGGAACAAGACCCCTGCTTGCAGACAGGCACCTTTATCTTACTGAGCAAAGCGATGAAGGCGCTCACAGAAGTTTGGAAACCAACTGGACCACCTCATTCTTCTACGCAATGACATCCATCATTAGCAGCCAAGCACATGCAGGGTGCACCACCACCTCTGAACAGGCCTCTCCACAAAGCATCTGAGGAATGCAACCCAGGGAAACAAGGCTGATATTTCAGAGCCAGGTGTGTGTTGTAAAATAAGTGAAGTCCCTTCCCTGCTGTGCTGCTACCTTCTCCTCTTTACCTTGTTTTTCTCATTGCTTAATGTTTGTTTTTGCCAGAATCAAATGCTAATAAAAAATAATAATAATAAAATTTAAAAAAAAAAAAAAAAAGTCAAGCATCGCTTCCAAATTGGTTTTGAAGCATCGTCTTCCAATTATAAGGGCCTAATTCCTTCTCCCATCCACTGAACCTTTTTGGTATTAACAGGCTTTACTATGCAAAGTGATGCAAGGGGCTGTTTCATTTACAGTAATTAAATGAATGTCAATTGTTTTAGTTGTTTCCGAGGGAGAGTTCTACAAGAGTATTAGCATGTTCTGCTAACCCTTACGATCTGCACTTCAGGCCCACTGCAAACCCTTGGGGGTTGACCACTGACCTGAGACTCCATGCACAGACATGCCAAGTGCATTTCAATGAGATGAGCTCTTTTTCTCAGTTTCTATGGAACCAGCAGAGCAGAACTAATATAGCATCCGCATATAGATGAAAGAATGGAGAGGAAAAAGGGCTTTACAGCTAAATTAATTAAGCAGATGTACCTGTCTAATTAAAGACGCACTGTCCCTTTTGTACCCGTGCCGCAGTAGAAACAGTATTTAAATACGTTCTCAACCCATTTCATCTATCAAAATATTTAGTAGAACACTCAAACGGAGGTGATATTAGCACGGCGCGTTCCCCATGTATTATTAATAGACGAGCGTCCAATTATGCACGGATGCTACAGCGGATCTTTATAGCCACTGCAGAAACACAGCTGCCCAAGTCACATTTGTAACGGGAACAGATGCAAAGGCTCAGCCATAGGGGAAGGTCCTGCAGTCAGGCCCCAGCACCGTGAAAGAAACTACAGCAACTATTAAATCTGGAATTTCCTGGCATCAAATCCATGAGGGACTCGAGCCCTGCTGGTGCCAGAAGGTTTTGCTTTCTTAGATTCCAATTGCAAAGCCTTCAGCTGAGTGTCTCAATGTTGCCCAAGAGATTTGGATGCCCAGTTTGCATTCATTTTAAGTTGCTGGGAGGCTCTGAAATTTTCAGCCTTAAACTCTGATTATCAGAATCCCAGATAGCCACACTACCGTAGTATCCCCTGGGCTATTTGGATAGAAAGGGCCTTGGTTAATACATTCTGCAGTTGTGGGGAGAGGAGTTTGCAGGCGCTTTTCTGCTGGTTTGGGCAAAATCTTGCACAAACGTGCTCATAGACAGTCACAATGTTACAGCAGCTTCTTCAGAGTGATCCAGAAGAGGCAGAAAAGGCCTGGGGAATAGGGATTCTTAGGGGACAGCATGGCAGGGTAATGGGTTTCTTGCCATACTGTCTAGAGAGCCAAGCTCCAGTAGGAAAAGGTGGAAGCTCCCTTTGGCCCTTTCCAAGGTCCCTTGTATTTTCAGTGCCTTATTTGCAGGGACAAATTATATTGAGTTGCGTGGAGGGGTGGAAACCCACCCAAGCAGAAAAAACAGCAACTAAAAGAGTCTCTTCCTGTTTTCTTTCAGTGTCTGCAGACAGCTGCTACGCTTGGCAAAGGAACTGGGACCCAACATTTCCACGGTTAAAATGCAGTGTAGAGTAACTAAATGTTAAAGGTCTTCTAGTGAAGACGCACTTACCTCAAGTAGCTGCTCTGGTTGGATCTAGAAAGCATTTGTATCAGCCCCAACCACGTGGTCACCGGCTGCTCCCAAGCTACAGCTGACCCAGCTGCACTCATCTGAAGGCAGTAACAGGTGTGGCACTCAATCAGCGAGGCCCTGGGGCAGGAGAGTCTGCTCCTGAAGCCTGGATTTTCGCTCCACAAAGGCAGAGGGCATCAGTAAACTGTCTGTACAGCCTGGCCCCTGTTCCACTTGGCTGTGCAATGGAGGGACCTGGAATCCACTTTTTGTGATAACAGACATTTCTGCTTTACTTCCATGTGTTCTGGGTCTTTCTTCTGAGCCTGCCCTAGTCGCTCTATTAGGACTTACCGTGCTGCAATGCCAGGTATTTTCACCCCTGCGTTATCTAAACTTAGAACACGCTTCATGGACAGGGGGGTGAAAGTGCCTGTATCCTACCTATGATACAACTGCCACTGTTGCCATCTTGCGGGGAGCTTCATGGACCCAACTTTTCCGAGGCCTAGGGCCACCTGTTTTGTCAACCCTAGAACAGTGCAATTGCAACCCCCCTCTCCTTATTTGTATTCGCTCGCTCATCTGTTGCTGCACAGCCTTTTGGAGGCACCAGTCGTGACTCCAGACGTGCATTTGAAACCGTTTTAATATTCCAAACATGCATGCTACATGTGTGCTCTGTACTTGAGACAAAGCTGCAGTTTTCACACATGGCACTGAATGTTCATTAAATGTTTTCACACATTTTATTGAATCCCTGCATTGGCAAAGGACAAGAGGGGAGGGGGTTAAACGTTTCCAAAAAGAACAAACTTCCTTACCTGTGCCACTTAGTGCCTGGGATCATAACCACAAAGACCTTGAACCAGCTAAACATTTTGCCATAGATGCTGTCACTATTTTCTGCACTTCACTTAACTTAGATATAGCTAGTTTGAGTCCTAGCTGTCCTGCCCTAGCCTACTGCTCTAACAACTGGCTTGCAAACTCTGCAAGGAACCTTGAAAACCAAACACCTTTTATTTAAAAGAGTTCACAAAAACAATTCCTACTAATTGTGAGCCTTTGCAATGATTTAATTATCCTCAAATCTGGGACCCAAATCATCAACTTGCCTGCTTATCAGCTTGGCTTAGCTACAGCTCTTATTCTTTCTAGGTCAGGACTTCTGTGGAAGGGGTTTAATGATACAGCTCTCTATATACTCAAAGACGACATGAGGGTCTTGGTCAGCATTGACGTAAAAGGCATTTTCATAAAACTCTTCCAGGTCCTTGATGTTTCTGTAATAGATTTCCAGATGCATCTCAATCTTTCCTTCTAAGTCTTTAGGGTTCTGCCTGAGACGGGCTTGGATGTCTGGAGAGGGAGCTGGTTTGTATGTAATGTGGTATCTAGAGATAAGAAACAAAGCCCTTTTCAGTTTATAATGATGAGCTGGGAAGCGGCAGATCTTACTAATACATCCTTTGCTTTCACTCATCTGCATGTTTTCTTCCTGCAGGTGGAACTCAGTAACTTGCCAAAATGCCAGGTTCCAAAAAAAGAAATTGGGAAAATTTAGGACAAGTTACTTGGTGCTGTTACTGCCAAGGACACTTGACAGATGAGAGGTTTTTCTGGCAGCGACCCAGGTCCTACATGCTGAATGGGTACAATCAGCCCCAACGCAACTGCCATGCAAGTATACACTACAGCAGCTACTGCTCCTTTCTACAGATTGCAAGAAGCAATCTCAATTCCTTTGAGAGCTTTAAGGGCTTCCCAAATTTCAACTGGTGCAAGTGTCGGATCCAGATTCAATTTGTTCTAGTTTCTACATCCTAATCTTGGACTCCTGTTCTATCCACAACCCCCACTTGCACAGGTCCTCTGGACCCATCTGTTCCACAAAGCCACAGAGGGAAGTTAGCTGCCAGGAGACCAGGCAATTGCAAGGCTGGCTGACAGCACATTTACAGCTGATCAGCCAAAGAGATTCTTGAAGGAACAGACAACATTAATTAAAGTGGTGGACGAG